AAACACCAAAAAAAAAAAAAAAAAAAAACAAAAAAAAAAAAAAAAAAAAAAAAAAAAAAAAAAAAAAAAAAAAAAAAAAAAAAAAAAAAAAAAAAAAAAAAAAAAAAAAAAAAAAAGAAAGAAAGAAAAGAAACCCTGTCTTGTAAAACAAACAAGCAAACAAAAACAGAACAAAACTATTTCCTATGCCTTTGAGGCTTGCTATCACATTTGCCTAGCTATGTGTGGGAAACAGTTTCTCACTGCCAGGCCTTCCTTTCTCTCTCCTAGGTAAATGCAGAGACATGCCTTCCTGTAGTTATCCTTATTGACAGGCATTTGGTCAGTGTACAGGATCCAGGCAAAAGCATTCCATTTAAGACATTCACAGATATCCAAGGACACAGAGTTACTACTTGCCCAAAGCTGTTGATTCATAGCTGCTCAGATAGAAGAATAAGCAAGCCCTGGTTTTACCCAACTTAAAAGATTCCTGACTCCTTACGCTCACCTTCACCTCAGTTTACTGAAAATTTTAGTTCAGGAAACTTACTGCTTGTGTTTTACTCCCAAGGACAGCAGAGGAGATAATTAACCACAACCCAGAGAAAAGACTTCCTGTTGGCACCACAGACCCACAATGCCCATGATCAGAATGATTGATAACAGCATATCCCAGAACTGATCATTTGTCTTTGTTTCTCCTGCTTAGAGTAATCAGTGTAAACTCCAGACACAGAGCCGTAGAAATTGCAGCATCTGGTGAATATGCTATCAGATGTAGGAACCATAAGCTTCCCCCGACTGTGTACATAGGTTGTCTGGTTACCCGATATTATCAATACATGCTGGGAGAAAAAAAGTGGTGCACTGATTTAAAAAACAATCCGTGCCCTACTCATAATTTTACTGAAAATAAAACTTTTAGCTCTTTATCTAACAACCTAAAAATGTAGCATAGCACACCAGCCTTCCCCTCTAGAATTCCCTGATGATTTATTTCCTTTCTTTTTTTTTTCTGAGTTATTTTTTCCTTTATAAAGAACAAAAAAATGCCAACACATACCCAAGTGTCCATTAACAACAACAACAGAACTAACAACAAAATGAAGAGCGGCAGCCCCAGTCAACAGCCGCCTGTGGCCCATGCTGAGGAACCCTGGGAACAACGCCTGCACAGGACATCTCACTGAACACAGGAAACAACCCTTGATCTGGAGAACACAAACTCCCACGAGGCAGAAAGTGACGAGTTAGTCTTCAGCATCATCAAACTGTCCTGTTTCAAAGACCATCCTAGAATAATGTGGTATCAGTGGAGGGGGGTGGTGCCAGCTGGGGTCATACATCATGTCTCCTTGCGGGGCACAGCACACCCAAGGCTTAATCTCTTGAGACATGCTCCCCTGGATGTCATCGGCATCGTTAGGATTGCCTTGGTCTGCTCTCAGCTGCAAGTCCCAGTCCTCCTCGCTAAAGAGATCAGCAGCCTGTTCCATGGGTGGCCCTTCTGACAGCTCCCAGGCGTACAGTTCCCCATCGTCTTCCTTCTCCACAAAGCCATCCTCTTCCACACCTGGGCCCTCAGCATGGGCAGGGCTGCCAGTAGGGATGCTCTGGGCTCCTCTGGCTAAGGATTAAAAAATGTAAGCCCTTCAAGGACTATAACCTGGACTTGGAACTGAAACAATTTTCTACCTATATATTCTGTGTGCTTTTCAGTGCCTCGAGTTATTCCTCCCAGTGAAATGAGGCAGTCTGAATCCATACAATGTCGAGTACTTCCTTGAAGCCTCCAAATGAAGAGTTCCACCAAAACACTGGGCAGAGAAGGTAACTCACTGGCAGAGAGGACTGGCTAGCAAGAAAAAGTGCATGAGGCTAAGGGATTATGCTTTTTTTTTTCTCTCTCCATCTCTTCCAACATCCACCCCAGGTCTCTGCCGTCTACTTGCCTAGTCGATCCATGGCCATCTCAGTCTCTGTCTCATGACCAGAGAGGTCAGCTGCGGCAAAGCCAACCTCCGCGCTGGGGGCCTCCCTTATTTCCTTTCTTAACTAACTTTCTCCATTAAGGAGTTCACTGGACATGAACTAAGCCACTCCCACCTTTGAACTGACAGTCATGGATCTGCTGTGCATATGTGTGTGTGCGTGTGCGTGCGCGCGTGCACGTGTGCATGCATGCATGTGGGAGTACATGTTCTTATCTGACTTTTTATGGGGTAAAGAATTGCAGCCTGGGACTAGGGCTGGGGAAAATTTGTAGTCTGAGGTTTCTGTCCTGCCCAGTTCCCACAGTCATTAAGTCCCAAAGAAATCACAGAGAGTCCTACATTAGTATTGGTATACAAGTAGCCGTGTTTCCTATTGGAACTTTCAAACATGCTGTCATCTTGGAGGTAACAGAATTTTCCCTTTATTTTATGTAAGAGTTTGAATAAGAAATGTCCCCTTAGGGAGCTCACACATTTGAAAACTTGGTGTCTTGTAGTTCGTGGCACTGTTTGAAAAAGATTGTGGGACCTGAATATACTGAAGAAAGCATATTAAGGGGGGGGGGGATGCTGAGAGTTCATAACCTGGCAGGCAGCCAAGTACAGTGCTTGAACAGTAGCTGTGAGCTCACTTCTGATTCACAAGTTCTAAGAAGCGGTAGAGCAAAGGTCTTGAGATGGAGGGACTGGGGAAGAGAGAAGGAGAAGGAAGGGGGCCGCAGACAGACGGACAGAATAGTTTGGCAAGGGCTTTTGAAACCTCAAAGCCCACCCCCAGTGACACACCTCCTCCAACAAGGTCATGTCTATTCCAAGGAGACCACACTGCCTAATTCTTCCCAAACAGTTCCACTAACTGAGGACCAAGCATTCAAGCATATGACCAATGGGGGCCATTCTCATTCAAAACACTATAGACATATAGACTTTTCTCAGATAAAGTCTATATTGAGAGATGGGGGGAGGGAGAGAGAGGGAGAAAGAAGGAAAGAGGGAGAGAGAAAGTGAGCCTGGTGTAGGGGGGATAGAGACACAAAAGAGAGGAAGAAGTGGGAAGAGAGTAGGAGGGGTATATTTCAGAGACTAGACATGCATGAGTGTAGGCCAGTTTGCTCCCAGACATAGCTGACCAGGCCTCTCTCCCAGTCTGCTTTAGCCTCACTCAGTAAATCAGAATTCAAGTAAAAACCACTAACTAAGCATAAAAAGTCTGTATATTACCCACACGTCTCACTGGGACAGTAGAGCACAGTCCCGGAAGCCACCAAATTTGAGGCTAAACTGCTAGGGTGTTTGGAGTCCTTGGAGCCTTGTTTAATAATCAAATCGTTCTGCCTATTGTTCAGATGAAGACCTTGCCCTCCCCTTGCCCTTCCTTCCTGGCTCTCAGGTCACTGAGCATGTGGAAGGAATGTGGGCCAGGGTACCTGAGCAGGCCAGCTCAGGAGAGGGAGTCTAGGAAGGAAGGAAGGGCCAGCACAGGTCCATAGGCCCTTGAATGGGAGGGGTACTGACACGGTGAGAGTGAGGTTGCTGAGGTGGGAAAATAAGCCAGGTGGCTGAAAGAAGAAGGAGTCGTTCAATCGGTACGACTAGTGAGAAGCAGAGGTCTCCTTATTGGAGAAGGCATTCCCGCATACAGAATGGGAAAGCCTTGAAGTGCTGAATCCGTGGTCAGCACAGAGACACTGTGTCATGATGTCCATCGAAAGGGTTGTCCTCGCGCTACTCCCAGGGAGCAGTTGGTATTTAGGGCAATGTCTACAAATACCCTACAGCACCTACAGCACAAGGGGGGGGGGAGCCCCCTTCCCTTTTCCTCTTAAAGATCACGAAGAGAATAAAAATTTTAAAGAAAGGGATTTTAAGAAAAAAAAAAAACCTTAAAAAGAAACAAAAATCCAGAAATAGTACAATTTATTCAGTGCACATGTATTCACATGTAGTAATTTTGTGTCTGTGCAATATGTAATCGTGTCTCAGTATTCCTCTCGGGCGATGGCAAATGCCATCCAAAATAGCCTGATTAATGCAGGAAAAAAAAAAAACCACTCAGTGGAAGCCGAAAGCAATATTCTGGCTGGAAGCAAAATTGCACAGCTGGTACCATTTGGGGAATAAAAAGGGAAAATATTTTTAAAGCCTAGTGATATTTTTAGAAGTCTTTAAAAATTCTTAAAAATATTTTTTGTTAACCTGAAGCTTTCCCCCACAGGTTGAATAATTTCAATTTTCTAAGGGGACTTTTACTTTAAACTTCAAAAAATCAAATGCTGAAATTCTGTAGCACATGCAAATAAGAACAAATAGCAGGGGGTGGAAGAACAGCCCCCAGCCAAATGTATTATTAAAAAACTATAATCTGGGGCTCGAGAGACGGTTCAGCAGCTAAGAGACTGGCTGCTGTTGTAGAGGACCTAGATTCTGGTTCTATTCTAAAACCCACATGACAGCTGACACCCGTCTATAATTGCAGGTCCTAACTAAAAAGAAATGAGTCTTTAAAAAGAAAACCACAATAATCTTAACAGTATACTGGTAAGTTGAAATAAAAAGTCATTAATGGAATAAAATGTGGAGTATAAAAATCTTATAGTAGGATTAATGTAAGATAAAGAAGGAGTCAAAAGTCAGTGAGAACCTAGGTGGTGGTGGCACACGCCTTTAATCCCAGCACTCGGGAGGCAGAGACAGGTGGAGTTATGCCAGCCTGGTCTAGAGAATGAGTTCCAGGACAGGCTCCAAAGCTACAGAGAAAACCTGTCTAAAAAAAAAAAAAGAGAGAGAGAAGAAAAGAAAGAAAAAGAGTTAATCCCAACTGCTAGAATAAGACCGTTACCACAATTGGAGCCAATTTTGAAGCAAGCTTGATTTTTATTGGGGTGCACCCAAGGCTGGTCAGCAACTGCCTCCTAGTTGGGTTAAAGAGAACAGCCCTCAATCCATCTCTTGGGCCCCTTTTTAAGGAATAAAATCATGAGTAGTTTTACAGAAGAGAGACGATGGGACAACAAGGAAATAAAAAGAAAAGAATAAGCAAGTGATCCACCCACCAGGGTGATTAGGAGGAGTCAGGGAGGGTCAGGGAGGGTTAGGGTAGTCTCAAAAATAAATCAAGGTCATGGGTTGGAAAAATAGAGCAATTAGACTCTCAGAGTAAATAGAAATTTATTTTTAATCATAATGGCTCCTGCCTTTAAAATGGAGTCAGGCAGGTTCCTCAAAAGAAATAATGACAATGAGCCAGGTATGTAACTCAGTGGGTAGAATGCTGGCCCAGTATCCAAAACGTTAGCAACCAGGCATTATGCCTGTCACCTGGCAGGAAGTGCTTGTCAGTCCTCAGGCAAATACTTAGTCCAGGGTATTCATGTGCAAAAGCCCCCTTTTAGAGGCAAGCTCCACCCATTCTCTTTCTCTTTCCTGTTGCTTCTCGGAAGATGCAGGTCTTTGTACCCCCCCCCTTCTCTCTCTCTCTCTCTCTCTCTCTCTCTCTCTCTCTCTCTCTCTCTCTCTCTCTCTGCTTCTGGATCAGGACGTAGCTCTCAGCTACATCTCCAGTATCACATTGCCTGCTGCTGCCATACTCTCTGCTACCATGCTCCCTGCCACGATGATAATGGACTAAGCCTCTGGAACAGTAAGTGCCCATTTAATGCTTTTTTTTTAAAAAATAATTTATCTATTTTTTATTTTATGTGTGTCAGCATTTTGCCTGCATCTATGTCTGTTTGAAGGTGTCAGATCTTAGAGTTACAGACAGTTGTGAGCTGCCAGATGGGTGCTGGGAATTGAACCATGGTCCTCTGGAAGAGTAGTCAGTGCTCTTAACCACTGAACCATCTCTCCAGCCCATAAATGCTTTCTTTTATAAGAGTTGTTTTGGTCATGGCGTCTCTTCACAACAATAGAACAGTGACTACGACAGTGACATAACCCTGGGATGGTGGCTCATGCCTATAATACCAGCCTAAAAGACAGAGACAAGGGGATTAGGAATTAAAGGTCATCTTCAACTACACAGTGAATCTGAGGCTAGCCTGGGAGACAAAAATAAAGGAAGAAAGGAAGGAAGGCAGCAATTGGGCTGCGGAAATACCTCAAGTGATAAAATATTTGTTACATAATCTTGAGGACCTAACAGAATTTATGTGAAAATCTGGGTGTGTCAATGTGAGCCTGATGCTTGAAAGAGAGCCTGACGGATCTTTGAGGCTCGCTCACCAGCCAGCAGCTGAGAGGATGCAGCACCTCTCCACCCCAAAAGTGGAAGAAAACACTCAAGATTGTTCTTTCATGTGTGCGTGCATACTTGTCCAGTGGCAGTTCAGGAACTTTGAAAACAAGTCAATTTAAATGTTTAGCTCACTCAAGAATATGGCTATTCTTGGTTGTCAACTTGACTACATTTGGAATTAACTAAAATCAGAAAATGAAGGGTACACCTGAGAGGGACTTTTGCATAATTTGATCTACTTCTAATTTGGACCTTTGAGGTTAAAAAGACACACACCTTTAATCTGGGCCACACCTTCTGCTGGAAGCCTAAGAACATGGGAGAAGAAGGAGGTTTTACTCTTTGCCTGCTTTGCCCTCAACTTGTTAGCACATCCTTTCCTACTGGCATTGGAGCCTGCTTCTTCAGAATTCTGGTATATACTGAAGACCGCTTGAGACACCCAGCCTTTGGACTGAGCAACCATTAGATTCTTGGACTTTTTGTTCCCAGCCAGCCGCTGTTGGATTAACTGGACTGCAGCCTGTAAGTGATTCTAACAAATCCTTTTCTACATATATAGAGAGCTTCATTCTATAAATTCTGCTACTCTAGAGAACTCTGACTAATACAAAAATAAAAATCAAACATCAAAGATTAAGGACCGGGGCTGGAGAGATGGCTCAGTGGTTAAGAGCATTGTTTGCTCTTCCAAAGGTCCTGAGTTCAATTCCCAGCAACCACATGGAGGCTCACAACCATCTGTAAAGAGGTCTGGTGCCTTCTTCTGGCCTGCAGACATGCACACAGACAGAATATTGCATACATAATAAATAAATAAATAAATA